CCGAGTGCAATGTCGAAGGTGCCACCTTTTATCAGCCACAAAAAAGGCCCGCGCGTGCTGCGCGGGCCCGGCGAGCGACTAGCGAGCCAACCTGCTAGTTGTGTGAAAAATGTCCTAGCGCGCGCGATAAGGTTTTTGCTCGCCTTCCCTGGGACCCCGTGTTGCGTGACTCTGTGCAATTTCGGGCCCGGGGTTGTGTGTGAAAAATGTGGGGAAAGTTTTTTTTCTGCCCCTCATTTCGTTGTGTAAATCTGCAGCACGCCGCCATGCTCGTCCTCGCTCTTCTCTCGACGCCCTCAATCGCCGCCTCTCGCCCCCGTCCGCGGCGCGGGGGGGCACTCATCGACACGCGCAACCGCACCGACCTCAGCAACAAGCTCCAGACCGACGCGTCGGCACCCGCCCTCGCGGCGTCTGCCTCGCGCAAACCCGACAAGGCCGCGGAGCTCCTGCTCCACCAAGACGTCCTCGGGGGTGGGGGGGCGCTGTTCGGTGCCTGTCCGGTCGTCGCCACCTTTCACGCCTTCTCCTTCTCCTTCCCGTTCAACCTCTCCAAGTTCAGCGGCGCCGCCTCGCGCGCCGCCGGCCCGACTACCTTCAAGCCCATCGGCGCCGCGGCCGACCCCGAGCTCGCCTCCTTTGGCGAGGCTGCCGGCGCGGTCAAGAATGGCGACGTCTCGCTCGCCGACTCCACCGCCAACTCCGTCGGTGTCACGTGCGGCGGCGGCGCCCCTGTGTGGTGCGCGGCGCCGCCGCAGCCGCTCGCCGAGCTTTGCGTCTCTAAGGATCCGATCGAGGCCTCGGGCTCCACGAGCAACGAGACGGACTTCAAATCCGCCACGGCCCACTCCAAGATCGAGGCCGACGAGACGGACACAAAGGTGTGCGACTCAGTTCTCTCTCTGTTCTCTTCACCCACCGCCACCTCCCGCCCCTCCACCCACCCCAACACCATCCCTTGCCGGCCGGCCTCCCCCGCCGCCCTCCCCACCTCCCTTGCCGCCGCTCCCCCGCCGC